GAGAATATGGGTGGTATTCAGATGTGATTTAGGGCAACAAGAGCTAGATTGTGGTTCAAGGTGGTGACTGGACTGACAGTCTCCAGCATGGTGACATGACTGTTACAGTTGCCAGTGACTTGCTGTTCCTCCAGCTTCTACAAAGTGCTGGGTTTCTGTACTTCCGTGTCAGGGAAAATTTTCTATCACTGCCCTTCAGGGATGTTGGCCATTTGAAAAATCTTATCTCAACAGCCCTGTCCCTCCAGCAGAAAGTCTTCACGGAACAGAAGGGTTTGGACCCTCACATGGCCCCTTAACAGAACTAGCTCTTTCAGGGTTAGGCGTGGTGGTTCACACCTGTAATCCCAGCCGAGGTGGGGAAATCACATGAGGCCAGGTAGTTTGAGACCAGCCTGACGAACATGGCAAAACTCCATCTCTACTAAAAATAACAAACAAACAAACAAACAAATTAGCTGGGCATAGTGATAGTGGTGCTCTCCTGTAATCCCAACTACTTAGGTTGAGGCACAAGAATTGCTTGAACCCAGGAGGTGGAGGTTGCAGTAAGCCGAGATTGCAACACTGCACTCCAGCTTAGGCAACAGCGTGAGAACCTGTCCCCACCAAAAAAATAAATAAAAAATAACAAATAACAAAAACTAGCTTCTTCAGGAGCAAAGATTGCATACTGGATAGTGGATCTAGCCTTTTGTTTAGTAAGCCCGAGTTATTGTAGCAAATCCTTAAGAATTCCGTTTCAATTAGCTTCTAAATTCATTGTACTTTTCTGATTTGGAAATTGAACATTCTGGCTATTTATGCATGTAACTATATTTTCTATGCTATCTATACACATTTATCAATTTAATTTGAATATCTGACTATTCCACTTGCTTCTGGTGCTTTTAATCATCCAGGATGAGAATCCATGCTGCTCTGGAAGAACAATACAGGATCTGACCAATAAAATTCTACACTTTCTGAGGCTTTGTTGGTGTGGAGAAAGTCATTCCACTCTCAGATGCTTAATTCATAATGTGCTGAATGTGATTTTGTCTCATTGTCTGCTGAGCAGGGGCTTCTCCATTCTGTGGTCTCCTGCAGAGAAGAAAAGATTGCACTTTGCTTCCTCAATTAGCCCATTATGTTCATGTATAGCTGGTGCTTTTCAAATTTCTTTTAACTGCACCTTCCTGTCAGAATAGTGTTGTGACTTCTTAGCTCCCATTATCAAGTTGGAGTTCTCTAGGGAATTCATTAAGGTCTAGTTCTTTGGACAGATTTAATGATGATATTGTCATTTTTACGTAGTTCATGTGATTTTAGACATTAGTGAGCCTCGCTAGAATAAAAGGTCAGCCACTCTACATGGTCAAGTCAAATGACAAACTCTTATATGGCAATGGCAAAATCTGGCTAGTCATATGATTTTTTTTTTTTTTTTTTTTTTTTTTTTTTTTTTTTTTGCTTAAGATGTCCCTGCATTTTAATAGGAACATCTAAGTTATTAAGAATTACATATACTGCTTTTGAAATGAAAATCACAATTCATAAGGTAATAACAATAACAAAGTCAGTGAAAAGTATCTATTCACAGGATTCTTACTGATATACGCATGAGAGGCAATAAAAAGCTTGATTTTCACAACCTTAAAAGCTTTCATTGCTTGCACATGCCTGTGCAGTAAGTGGGGAGTTTACCTTGTTTTTAGGAAGAGAAAATGACATGCAAAGAAGTGAATTGATGAAATTTAATTGACTCTAGTCATTAAACACCTGCTACTTGGTAGGTATTCTACTAGACATAAAACACTAAATAAAACACAGCCCATGCTCTCAAGTCAGTCCTAAGCTCATGGAGAAAAATGACAGGAACATCAGTGATTACCAAATCATATGTCAACTGATTCTCAAAGGCAGGGAGGAAGCTCCTCCCAGGTAAAGAATTCTACACAGACAAAAGGGTATAAAGAAAGATGAAAGATGATATATTACAATGTTCTGCTCTTCAAAAATCATTAAGAAAATGAAAAGATGTGTCAAAGACTGGAAAAAGTTATATATCTGATAAAGAGCTTGTATTCTGAGTACATACATGACTCTCTCAAATGAATAATAAAAAGGACAACTCAATTTTTAAAGGGTAAAAAAGTGAATGGGGTAGTTCCCAAAAGACAATATACCAGTGGCTGATTACATTGAAAATGTGTTCAACATCATTGAGAAGAAAATGAAACTTTGAGAACCACAATGAAATGCTGCTTAACATACACTAGAATAACTAAAACATAAAATACTGACAACACTAAATGTTGCTGAGTATGTGAAAACATGGCTGGAAAAGCGATAGGTACATTTTTTTTTAATTATTTATGTTTATTTTAATTTTTGAGACGGAGTCTTGCTCTGTCGCCCAGGCTGGAGTGCAGTGGTGCGATCTCGACTCACTGCAAGCTCCACCTCCTGGGTTCACGCCATTCTCCTGCCTCAGCCTCCCAAGTAGTTGGGACTACAGGCGCCCGCCACCACGCCCGGCTAATTTTTTGTCTTTTTAGTAGAGACGGGGTTTCACCGTGTTAGCCAGGATGGTCTCGATTTCCTGACGTCGTGATCCGCCTGCCTCAGCCTCCCAAAGTGCTGGGATTACAGACATGAGCCACCGTGCCCGGCCCAGTACATTTTTATTAAGTGAACCATAATAATTCCCTTCCTAGGTATTTGTGCCAAAAAAACAAAACTATGTTCACAAAAAGATTGTATAAGACTGTTCATTTCAATTTTGTTCATAATAACCCTAAATTGGAAGCAACTCAAATGTCCACCAGTACATACATAAATTGTGGTATATTTAAATAGTGGAATACTACACAGCAATAAAAGGAATGAACACGTGGTATGCACATCAACCTGGATGAATCCCACAGACATTCTGTTGAGCAAAAGAAGCATAGAGGAAAACTAATACATGGTCATAGAAATTAGAATAATGATTACCCTCTTATATGGGTGGGGGAATTGACTGGTGAGGAGAAAACGGACTTCCTGGGAAGATGGAAATGTTCTATGTATTGATTGGAGTGGTGTCCACATGCATGTATACACTTGCCAAAAATCCATTGACTGCATGCACTTAAAGACTGCACTTTATTGTATTCTAATGGTGACTTAATCAAAGAAAAGCATGGAGGGCCTTAAAGGTTAACGGAACTGTGGGTCATCTCACATGGCAGCAGTTGGGGTATATTTGGGCAGGTGGAAGATGAAGTGGGAGAAGGGCAGGCAGTGCTTTGGGTACCATGCTAAGAGGACCAAAATTTAAAATGGATATTGGAGGCAGTGGGAGGATCTGACATAGGGGAAGATGTGGCATGAACAACTTATGTTTCTTGACTAGATCCCTGGTGGAAGTATTGTGAGATACTGGGTGGCAGAAGTGGGGAGAGAAATTGTCACAATGCAATCATTCCACCAACAGAAAGTGGAACATCTACTATGGTCTAAGTGATTAGGAAAAGGAAATGAACGAATATGGGGATATCAAAGTGTGAAATGATAGGGCCAAACTGGGCCAAATTAATAGAGGTGGGGAGGCTGGGAAACATTAGAGAGAACAGGATAAACTCAGTAGGTCCTTGGAACAGAGAGAGAGGGAAGGAAGAGAGTTGGGTGGATGAGGGTGCCACAGATAGAGACAAGATATGAAAAAGGAACATATTCTACAGTGCATACATACATCAAAACATCACGTTGTACACAGTAAATATATACAATTCTTGTCAATAAAAAATAACAAAAAAAGGAATATACCATCAACCTAAATAAAATTCTATACCCAAGAAAAATCCCTCAAAAACAAAAACAAACTTCAAACAAAAATAAAGACCTTTTAAGATGCATACAAAAATTAGTGTAATTAAGGACTTGGTGTGCGTAAATTACCTGTAAGATATCCAGACACAGATGCTTAGCAGGTAGTTGAAAATTAAGGGCTGAGACTCAGGAGAAATTTTAGATATGCAATCATGTATTGCTTAATGATGGAGATATATTAAAGAAATGCGTTAGGCAATTTTGTCATTGTGGGAACATCATAGAGCGTACTTACACAAACCTAGATAGTGCAGCCTCCTCCACACCTAGGCTATAGGGTACGACCTGTTGCTCCTAGGCTGTAAACCTGTACAGCATGTTACTGTACTGAACACTATAGGTGACTATAACACAATAATAAGTATTTGTGCATCTAAAAGTATCTAATATAGAAAGGAACAGTGAAAATATGGCATAAAAAATTAAAAATGGGCCAAGTGCAGTGGCTCACACCTTTAATCCCAGCACTTGGGAAGCCAAGTCGGGCGGATCACGAGGTCAGAAGATCAAGACCATCCTGGCCAACATGGTGAAACCCCGTCTCTACTAAAAATACAAAAATTAGCTGAGCGTGGTGGTGGGCGCCTGTAATCCCAGCTCCTTGGGAGGCTGAGGCAGGAGAATCGCTTGAACCCGGGAGGCAGAGGTTGCAGTGAGCCAAGATCACACCGCTGCAGTCCAGTCTGGCAATAGAGTGAGACTCTGTCTCAAAAATAAAATAAAATTAAATTAAAATAAAATAATTAAAAATGGTGCACCCATATAGGGCACTTATTATTAATGAAGCTTACAGGACTGGAAGTTGCTCTGGGCAAGTCAGTGGGTGAGTGGTAAGTGAATGTGAAGGTCTAGGATATTACCATACACTAGCATAGACTTTATAAACACTATACCTTTAGGCTATTATAAATTGACAAAAATATTTTTCTTTCATCATCAATAAATTAACTTTAGCTTATTGTAACTTTTTTACTTTATAAACTTTAATTTTAAACTTTCTGACACTTTTGAAATAACACTTAGCTTAAGCTAAGTTTGTTTTAAAGCATTGTACAGCTATACAGAAATACTTCCTTCTTTATATTCTTATTCTATAAGCTTTTTTCTATTGAAGTTTTTTTGTTTTGTTTTGTTTTTCACTTTTTAATCTTTTAAAAGAACCAAAACACAAACACATACATTAGCCTAGCTTGCACGTGGTGAGGATCATCAATATCCCTGTCTTCCACCTCCACTTTGTGTCCCTCTGGAAGGTCTACAGGGGCAATAGCCCCTATGGAGCTGTCATCTCCTATGACAACAATGCCTTCTTCTGGATACCTCCTAAAGCAGTTGCTTGAGGCTGTTTTACAGTCAACTTTTTCTTTAAGAAGTAGAAGGAGTATATTCTAAAATAGCAATAAAAAGCAGAGTAAATACATATACCAGAAACAGTCATTTATCATCATCAAGTATTATGTACTGTACATAATTGTGCTATGCCTTTTTTGTTTTGTCTTTTTGCTTTATTATTATCTTTGACACATAATCATACATGTTTATGGGGTGCTGAGTGATATTTCAGTAGAGGTACACAATGTATGATGATAACATCTAGATAGTTAACATATTCATCACCTCAAACATGTATCATTTATTTGTGTTGGGAACCTTCAAAAATCTGCTCTTCTAGCTATTTGAAAATATACAATGAAATGTTAATGTTAATCACCCTAGAGTGCTACCATATATACTATGCTTTTATGTAACTGGCAATGCAGTAGATTTGTTTACCCCAGCATCACCACAAACACATGAATGATACATTGCACTGTGATGTTACAATGGTTATGACATCACTAAGTGACAGGAATATTTTAGCTCCATTTAATCTTATGGGAACCACTGTTGTATATGCAATCCATTGTTGACTGAAATGTCTTTTTACAGCATGTGATGATATAGATAATGGATATAAGTGATACTGGTGAATATGAAGACAACAGGAAGGAATTAATGCAGAAGAAGAAATCTTGGAGAACATCATCATTGAAAGGATAGACCATTAAAAGGATCTTTGTTGAGGAGCAATCAGAGATGTCAGAGGAAATTTTTACAAAGGTGTTGTCATAGACACCAATGGAAGGTAAGAGAATTTCAAGAGGAAGAGAGTTCTAAGCAGTGTTTATGGAAAATGTTTCCAGGGAGCCAAGCTACACTTATTTGATTTGGTAACTAGAAGGTTAATAATGCCCTCAGGAAAGAGTGGTTTTAGTAGAGTGGTGGGGTGTTAAAGAAATTAGTAAGGGTAAAAGAGTGAGTAAGGGGTAAAGAAGAACAGAGAATTATAGAATAATCTTTCAAGAACCTTAGCAGTGAAGGGAAGGAAAAAGATGGAATTCATTCTGCATTTTTGTTAATAGCAAAAATCGCATCTTAGTAAAAAAACGTTTTTGCAATCCTTCGTGACCAGAGTGAATTTGTCAGAACAGCAAATGTTCGTACACCCTTCTTTGATTCTCATAAAATGAGTGGGTAACTCCAGACAGCCTTCATGGAGATAAGACCACTAGATTGTTACCAGGTTCCAGCAAGCCCACAGGACCAAGAAGAAACTGCCTTCACCTCAAGAGCAATTGTTGAGGAAACTGAATTGGACTATTTCTCCAGTGCAAGTCAAGAGGATACCATGAACTGGATCACTGCATTAATAGGTCGATGAGAAAATAACTTTTTCCTGGAGCAGTACATCTGTTGTAAAAAGAGGATAATATTCTCATAATCCAGATCATCTTTAGTTCTGTATTTTCAGTGCCTATCCTAGTTTCATGTACTCAAGTGGTGGTTAAAGTAAATATTTACATGTGAAAATAAATTATTAGCATAGTGAAAAAAAAGATTATTTTTAATATGAACAGGAGCAAGGAGAGAGCTTAGTGTTGTGACGCCATCTGTGACCACGTAAGCTAAATTACTTCCATGAGCAATTGAATCTGGAAATCCTTCTGCTCATATATGCTTCCTCAACAACATTCAGAATTGCCACTTCTCTGGGAAATGGGAAGGAATGGTTGTTTGTCCTATTCAGAAGCCTGTGCTGTACCTTCTATATATGATTGCCTGAGATGTTTAGGTTGGTTCACCTAGAACGCTGTTACATGGCTTCTGATATCTTTGTATTTTTATTTTAGTTATTTCTTTACAAGTGTTTACTTATCACATTTTATGCATCAAATACTGTGATAGGATCTACCGCTGACATATTTTGCCTTTTACTATGGCCCTTAAATGTTTCTACTCATCTAAATTATTTAAAACAAGGACTCTTTATTACAATTATTTAAGCATATTGTAGATCATAATACCATAATAATTTTTTTCAATAAATGTTTAACTTATAGCACACACAGAAATAGCCTTCATTAGGAGGAACATTTTTTCAAAGATTAGATGTTTGTAGATGTGTGGTGTTATTTCTGAAGCCTCTGTTCTGTTCCATTGGTCTATAGCTCTGTTTTGGTACCAGTACCATGCTATTTTTGTTACTGTAGCCTTGTAGTATAGTTTGAAGTCAGGTAGTGTGATACCTCCAGCTTTGTTCTTTTTGCTTGGGGTTGTCTTGGCTATACAGGCTGTTTTTTGATTCCATATGAAATTTAAAGTAGTTTTTTCCAATTCTGTGAAGAAAGTCAATGGTAGCTTGATGGGGATAGCATTGAATCTATAAATTACTTTGGACAGAATGACCATTTTCATGATATTGATTCTTCCTATCCATGAACATAGAATGTTTTTCTATTTGTTTGTGACCTCTCTTATTTCCTTGACCAGTAGTTTGTAGTTCTCCTTGAAGAGGTCCTTCACGTCCCTTGTAAGTTGTATTCCTAGGTATTTTATTCTCTTTGTAGCAGTTGTGAATGGGAGTTCAATCATGTTTTGGCTCTCTATTATTGGTGTATAGGAATGCTTGTGATTTTTGTACATTGAATTTGTATCCTGAGAATTTACTGAAATTGCTTGTCAGCTTAAGAAGGTTTAGGGCTGAGATAATGGGATTTTATAACTATACAATCATGTCGTCTGCAAACCGAGACAATTTGACTTTCTCTCTTCCTGTTTGAATACTCTTTATTTATGTCTCTTGCCTGGTTGCCCTGGCTAGAACTTCCCATAGTATGTTGAATAGGAGTGGTGAGAGAGGGTGTCTTTGTCTTGTGCTAGTTTTCACTGGGAATGCTTCCAGTTTTTGCCCATTAAGTGTGATATTGGCTATGGGTTTGTCATAAATAGTTCTTATTATTTTGAGATATGTTCCATCAATATCTAGTTTATTGAGTGTTTTTAGCATGAAGGGGTGTTGAATTTCATCAAAGGCCTTTTCTGTATCTATTGAGATAATCATGTGGTTTTTGTCATTGGTTCTGTGTAATATGAAGGATTACATTTATTGGTTTGTGTATGTTGAACCAGCTTTGCATCCCTGTGATGAAGCCGACTTGATCGTGGTGGATAAACTTTTTGATGTGCTGCTGGATTTGGTTTGCCAATATTTTATTGAAGATTTTCACGTCGATGTTCATCAGGGATATTGGCCTGAAATTTTCTTTTTTGTTGTGTCTCTGCCAGGTTTTTGTATCAGGATGATGCTGGCCTCATAAAATGACTTAGGGAGGATTCCCTTTTTTTCTATTGATTGGAATAGTTTCAGAAGGAATTGTACCAGCTCTTCTTTGTACATCTGGTAGAATTCAGCTGTGAATCCATCTGGTCCTGGGTTTTTTTTAGTTGATAGGGTATTAATTACTACCTCAATTTCAGAACTTGTTATTGGTCTAATTCAGGGATTCAACTTCTTCCTGGTTTAGTCTTGGGAGGGTGTATGTGTCCAGGAATTTATTCATTTCTTCTAGGTTTTCTAGTTTATTTGCGTAGAGGTGTTTATAGTATTCTTTGATGGTAGTTTGTATTTCTGTGGGATCAGTGGTGATATCCCCTTTGTCATTTTTTATTGTGTCTATTTGATTCTTCTCTCTTTTCTTCTTTATTAGTCTGGCTAGCGGTCTATTTTGTTAATCTTTTCAAAAAACCAGCTGCTGGATTCATTGATTATTTTGAAGGGTTTTTTGTGTCTCTATCTCCTTTAGTTCTGCTCTGATCTTAGTTATGTCTTGTCTTCTGCGAGCTTTTGAATATGTTTGCTCTTGCTTCTCTAGATGAACTCCACACTTTATAAAGTATCTAAAAATATTTGTTATAAATACTATTACCAATACCTGACAATAAAAGCTAGACACAAAATACAATTTCTGATCCCTGTCTTCAATTCTTCTGAAGATCTGCTGATCACCTTTTTCTATGGAAGCTAAGGGAATGGTTCCTGCTGGTTTAGTTTATCTTCTCTGTGATCCACATGGCTTTGTCCTGTGAGGTCTGTTATGCTTTAGAATGTCTTCTTCCAAAACAAAGATCTCTAGTCCTAAGTCTTTGTTAGTGTATTTCTCTGCAATGTTTTGCTTTCCTCCAATGGCCCTGAAACATGTGGCTGTGATTTTGCTGCTGCAGCTCGCTGAGATTTCAAGCTGAGCTTTCTGAACTTTTATCTATCTTCTCTCTGGCACCTGACCCCTCCCTGTTCTACCCCCTTTCATGATGAGAAGGGAATTTTAAACTATTTTGTCAAGAAGAATAATACTAGTTTTCACATGCACCAAGTAATTCTGGACAAGGTTTTCACTGAGGCATTTTCAACAATAGTGGAAGTCTGGAAGCAACTCAAATGACCATCAATTGGAAATTCCTTAAATAGATTATGGTACATCCATATGTAGAAAATGATACAGCCATGTAAAAGACAGCTTTTCTGTACTGATAAGGAAAGCACTTCTGTGCCTATTAAGAGAGAAAAGCAAGATGTGGAAGAGTTTATACAGCATATCAACACTTCTGATAACATTTTAAAAGACTATACATGCATTTGCTTTCTGCAAATAGCATGTTTCTGGAATGATAAATAAGAAACAGATGATAATGGTTGCCTCTGGATAAGAGACAGGATGAGAGGGAGACTTATTTTATGTGCCCTTTGTATTGTTGAACTTGTGACTATTATTAGCTACTTGAAAATAATACAGAGATAAGTTAAAATATATAAAATATATATAACCCAGACATGAGATGATAGATATGCTTATCCTTCAAAATATTTAGTAAATAAGCCCTTCAATTTCACAGCCTATCAGAGTTCAAGGCCAGTCCCCAAATTTCTGCAAATTCCTGGGGTGGGGAGTGCTATTTTCAAAGGCTATCTCAACCACTGCATTCTTTTATATCCATATCCTGCTTTTGTTCCTTATCACTTTGACCCCAACATGAAACTCAGCTTTGTATAGAGCACCCTTGACATAAGTAACTCCATCTTAGAAAAAAGACTCCATCTTACATTTCAAAAGGCACTCTATCAACAGCGACCAGATGTTTTGCCTGATCAATAAGGACTGCACCCAACCACATAAGGACATAACCAAGCACACTCCTCCACCATCAGCCCTCAGCAGGGGACCCTGTGGCCATAAAAAGCAGGATTTCAGCAGCTTGAAATAGCCATGTTAACAGACACCATCTTGCTGTCTTGTGATAAACACCTAACATCTGCTGCTGAAGACTCTGCCCACATCAAAGGCTCTTTCTTGCAAGACCAAGGGACCTTTAGGCCCAGATCAGGATATTCTTTTTGTCCACATCATTCTCCCTGGACTAGTTTGTTTTCTATCCCCTTTCTCTTAATGTTAAATGTTACTTTGTTTGTTGTGGAATGTTCAATCTATATCATTTATGTATTGATGAAGTATACTATTATGTATGGTTTGCAATATTGACTGACCTGTGAGATGGCTTGAGCTTGTGTGCCTATGGCTCTGATTACCTAGTGAACAGGAAGTACTAAGGAGAATTGCCTCCTTGGGAACTCTGCAGAGTGCATGGCTTTCATGATTGAAATAGCATCAATAAAAGTCTGACATTGTGGAAAAACACAAACATGCATGGTTCTGGTTATCTCTGACTTACGTCACTCATGATAAGCTTCTTCTCTGGTTTCAAACAAAACAAAACAAAGAAATGAAAAACTCAGTTATGATGCAGCATCATGAACAACTGTAAATGGAACAGTAGGCAACCTTCCTTCAGTTGCCCTTCCATTGTGATGTTTTAGTAACCCCACCAGCCTAGCATCTCTCCATCAGGCTGCCTCCTCTGCCCTCTTTTCATATTTAAAAAGTAAAACAAAGGAACTTAATCTCCTGCATAGCCATTCTGTGATGCTATTTCCTAGCGTAAGTATGCCATTGAGCCTAATTGAGTGCAGTCGATCTCAGTTGGCTTATCAATGCATTTCCCAAATAAAGCCAACTTACCTGAAAATAAATTTTGCTATCAGTTCTTAAAAGTATGTAAAACAATACATATTTGCTAGAGTTACAACACCAAAATCATTACTGATGTATGTTGCTCTGATATTCACCCTCTAGATGTTGGCATTCTTCAGGGCCTTTTCCCTTCCTTCGACATCATTATCTACCTAGACCATCTCATGGCCTCCCATGACTTTAGCTATCTCTGCTTACTAAAGCCTCCCACAAGTACTTCAACCCCAGACCTCTTGTATCCAACTACATATGAGTAATATGTTCATTTAGCAAACTTACAAATCCATCAAACCCAATCTGTCCAAAACCAAATTTGTAATCTTCCTACCAAACCAGCTCTACCTTCAGTGTTCCTTGTCTCTGCATATTGTACCACCATGTACCAAGTTGCTTATGTCAGAAAACTGACATTCTTGCTTCTGTCCTCTCCCTCATCCACATCAAATTCATCCCTTCAGTAGATCCACTTTCCTCCATCTCCACCATTGCTATCTTAATCCAGTTATTGTCGACTAACCTGAGCCAACTTAGCCAATCAATCTCATTTTCAGGTTCATGTTGACAGTATTACTAACTTAAGACATATGGAGATTGATGAGAACTCTAGTATCTTCCTCCACAAGCTTGCCACCAGATGGGATGTTACAATGAAAGCAAGTCTTAGACCAGATGCCACCTCATGGCATTTGCAAGTAAGTGCAGAAACTGTCATATAGTCTGTTCCATTTATTTGTACCTTAGGCACTTTGCAAAGTACCCAGTATGAGAAATTCCACTGAGCAGTTGTAATAGTCTAGCAACAGGATGCAGCTCACCTTCTTATGGATCAGAATTCTCTGTGAAGTGGTGGGACACGGGACCAAGCGGTCCTAGGCCTAGGGTACCACTCCTAAATTAAGAGGCCGCTGGGCTTGCCAGATTCTCAGAACACTGTTCATGCAAACGTAGTGACTGTATGATTAACCAGCATCAATTCATTTATTTTAAATGTTACTCATTGCACTAATGAAATGTTCTGCCTAGCATTCCTTACACCAATTAACAAATGCTCTGGTGAAGATGTAACAGTGATATTTGAAGTCATTTGTTGTAACTGACTTGTCTGATAAGAATATATTAAATGTTAAGTAATCTCTTCCAGGGTAGAGATTAAAAAGAATTTACATATATTTGTATGTAATTACATATATAATATTATATGTAATTGTACTCAAAAGGCATATTTTTGAGTACACATACCTACATATGTATACATATATATATATGCACGTATATATATATGTGGGTGTGTAGAATATTATAAATACATATGTTTATAGTATATTATATACATATATATGTATATACACACACATATGTAGGTATGTGTAGAATATACATATATATACACACACATGAGTATGTGTAGACAGACACATGTACATTTATATATCACTTTTTAAAATTTCATTAAAGACAATATATTCCTTATCTGCAGACTCCTAATTCATCATCCTGCATCCTGGCTTTCTGTTCTCTAAACCCATGTTTCACAGTAGTGAAATAATCAATTTTAAAAACCATAAATCTCATTTCTCTGTCTCAGTGATTCTCAATTCTCTTTTTCTGGCTGGTCTGTATATGTCTTACCACCATGTCTCTTGATACTCTCCTCCTTATCTATCAGGCCTGATTACATCACTGTCCTCCTTTTTGTTCCTTCAACTTGCCAAGACATCTTGGGTCTTGTAGCGTTTGCACTTCTGTCCTCCCTTGCATAGAACATCATTGTTCGCCTCTCTTGGCCTATGTAATCCTCTGAGTAAGTGAGGTCACAGCTTAAGCCCATTCTTCAAGGAAACTTTGCTGACTTCTCCCCAGTTCAGAGGAAGTGAACTTCCTGGTAGACCCACCTATGACAGAGTTGCAATTAATTAATTACTGAATTGTCTGTTTTCTCACTTGAGTGTTGTCGTTACAGGGACAAGTTTCATGTCTCTCTTACTCACTTAGCACTGCCTTTGTCTGGGTGTTTAATAAATATTTACTGCATGACTGAGTGAATGTAATGGCTATATTGTATCTGAGGAATTTCAGCCACATGCTTACGTTGTGTGTCCTGTTGGAACATGGGTTTGTTGGTAGTTATGTCTGGGAATATCAGTTAGTGTTGGTGTTGACTTTTTAATGATATTCTCTGGAAAATGACATGACACATGAATTCCTCAAACTAGATATACAGAGAAAACATACATCTGATGTCCTGTGAAACTTAAATCTTAAATCCTCCTTATCCGATTGCTCTTAGCAGTCTATCAGAAGAAAAAAACAACATTAAGGACAAGAATGAATACAAACAATTGCATAGCATGTCTGGAAGGAGTTCCCTCATCACTTTTTCTCAGGCCCTTCTTAGGAAAGCAAAGCAGGGGTCAAAGGTGACCACAGGAAGACCTTTAAAATGGGACTCAAAGGAATGTTCCCAGCAAACTAGGCTGAAAACTGTGCCAAGAATTAACTCCATATGGGGAAATCTTACAAACTGCAAAATCCATTTGTCTGCTTTGCTACGGTAAACACAAATTAGAAGTCTATTTGCTTATATTGCGAAGATTGGCTTCTTTTATGGTATTGTTCTATAATGTCTTGGAGGCAATACAAGAGATAACTTATGCATTGAGAGATTGCCAATAATCTCTCAGGCATTAAAATGATCATATATTTTCTCCCAACTTGTATGGTTTATTTACAAAGCAGATGCTTGGGCCTAACAAAGATTATTATTCAGGAGACAAGGTATAGGGCCCAGTATTCAGCACTTAAAAAATAAGTTAAGACATTAAAAGATAGAGAAAGCCATCAGGAAAATAGACCAAACACACATTAATCCTCTTCATTCATGGAGACCTGGGTCACTCTTTTTATCTACCATGGAAAGTTCCATCCTATGACATCCTCTCCACAGGAGAGATCAGTGATGTTGGAGGGTGTTCATGGATCTCCTGCTGAGGAAATGGGACATCTTGAGTTGTAAGTGGAAGTGAATACCGTTACAAGTGAGGGAATAAAAAACAGATAGCTTTTTGTTCCTCCAAGCAGTGGACCACATTGTTTTTTCAGTATAATTTACTAGCATAGATGTGCCTTCCTTACTTCTTTATTTTAGAAAAAAAATCTGAATTTCTTTAACAAATAAGTGATGGGTAATAATTAAAATGGCATTCTCTAACACATTTACTATATAAATGTATTTACAATATTCTGACTCAAAACCTGTCTTAGGAACACACCCTCTTTCCAAAGAAAGATCCACTTGTAAATCTACTTTCAAGTGAAAAGAACAAAATTTTGCTCACTTGGCTATTCTTGAGCAGAGCTGCTGTTTGAAACATATGACCCATATATTTCGGTATGAAGTTAGGATTTAGAACCGTAATAAGTTTTTTGACTTTTTGGTAGAAATCAAGGCTGAGGAGAAGAAATGTGACTTGTGACCAGGAGTGGATAGCATTGAGCTGCCAGACAAATAGGTCTTTATCAATTATATTTTGGAAGCTGTCAGGAGAGAATTCAGATCTCCTAACTCTCAGACTCCCTAGGACCTCATTTTCTTTGGAGGATTAAGACTTCTCAGAAGAGCAGAACGTGCCAGAGAAATGGGCAGGAGGCTACTGAGAGTCTTTTACAACATAGTTGAATCTGGAGTCTTAGATGGGAACTGAAAAGAATAAGAAATTGAAAAATTCCAAAAATTTGACCAAAAACCATTGAGCAGATGCATTTTCAGGGAGAAAAGGCATGTGTGCCTGCACGTGTGTCTGTATGCCTGCATGCGTATGTGCCTGCATATGCGTGTGCATGCATGTTTGTGCCTCTATGTGTGTGCCTGCATGTGTGTGGGTGCCTACTTGTGTGTGCCTGCGTGTGCGTGTGTGCCTGCACGTGCCTACATGTGTGTGCCAGCATATGCATGTGTATACATGTGTATGTGCATGCACATGTGTGTGCATCCGTGTGTGTGTATTGTGTGCATACGTGTGTGCATGCACGCACATGTGTGCCTGGCCTGCATGTGTGCACATGCATATGTGTGTGCCTGCATGTGTGTATGTGCGTGTGTGCACATGTGTGCATGCATGTGTGTGCGCAAGTATATGTGTGCACCCACGCATGCATAAGTGTAGTGATGGGCATAGACAGTTTAAGGTTAGTAAGAGTCAGCATTTTTCAATATTTCCATATTTCCCTCAGCTTTGACACCCAACAGTGACAGAAAGGAATGACAGAAAATTTTTAATTATAAATAGCTGACTCTTGCAAGAGTGGCAATAAAATATGTAATAGAATTCTGAGCCAGTCTTCAGAGACCAGAATGGGTGGTGGGAATAGTTACACATAGATTTGATTAATTTGGATACTAGCACTGTGTGGATGGAGTGAAGGGTGTCTAGTAATTCCCTCTGGGCTATTGGAAATCTTCATTCTCTCTAGAATTGATTTTTCTAGAGGCAAAAGTTAAGCCAGACGAATATGAGAATAAAATTCTGATTTTAATACAACAGTTTGAGTCACAAAGGCAAAATGATTATATAGAGTTCTGAGTGTCTGATATGGGACATTTGTTCTTTCTTCCTAAGCATATGCCAGCTGTTGCCAATGCGTTTTTTCTTCCACAGTTCTGGAGGTGACATCAGATGAGGCAGGGTATGCAAGTTTCTCCAGAACATTCATCTTCAACCTGGCAGGAGTCCCACTTGCTCACTCTCAGCGTCCTGGACAAGATTGCTTTGAGCTTTCCTGCTTCATGGTTTTGTTTCTTTGGTTCCTTTTTGGATTAAGTCATTCTTTTATTGTTGTTTTCTTTTAAACCCTAGCTATGCTTGGATTTTAAAGCCATAGAACAGTAACAGTATATGTCAGTGTAAAACAGGCTGGATTGGAGACCCACTCCTGCCACTTACTAGCTGGGCAAGTGTTGAAATCATGAAAACTTTGTTTCTTCATCTTTAACTGGAGGTGAAAAGAGTACTTAATGGGAAACTCACAACATAGTACCTGGCAAATAGTGAGTTTTCAATAAATGTATTATTTCTTCACTGTTAATATTTTCACATTTTGAAGTGACTAGTGCTCTGTTATGACTTAAGACGTCTACAAGAACCACCTTCTTTACATAAAGCGAAGAGCCTGCATCTGACTCTGAATTGGAAATTTGCTTCTTCATCTTCTCTAGACTTCTCTGGCAATAAGCTTCCTTGGAGAACATTTTAAAGCCCATGAAGTGGTCTCTAATTGTATTATCACACACACTGAAGACCTATTTTGTCAGATCATCACCCAGTGAAGGACACTGCACAGCTATTCCGTGGACTGATATTTTTAATAACAGCTCACAACACTCATCACTTTGGGTATGGTGTTTACTTTAAATTACATCTCCCAGTTGGGGATGGAACCCTTCAGACTTATGTGTGACCAATCAGGCTCTGGAGGAGATCTGCCAACAGGAGGAGTAATGAAAGAACACTAATGTGAACATGATTCACTGTGCAGGCATTAAAGAACTAAGCCTTTCATTACTTTGAGAGATAGTACATATGAAAAGCTACGAGTGTTGTTACACTGCCTGAAGTATTCACAAATGTGAAGAAGAAATAGTTAGCATGAAGCAAAGGACCCCAGAGCTAGTGTCTAGGATGAGTTCCTTGTTGTTTCCCGAGCTCAGGATCTTAGAAATTTCTCTAGGGCCCCATCTTCTCTGCCTCTGCAAGTTGTCAGTTGTCATTCTCAGACACTGGGGGCTGCTTGGGGACATGATTAGGCTCTCAAGGAGCCACTCCCATGAGCTTTTGCTAAAAGTGTCAGGTTGCTGAAGCAGACATTTCCAGGCACTTGATTTCGTTTTCCTGCCTCTGGCAAGTGGTTTTGAGTGATTCAGTTAGTAAAGAAAATGGTTGGACTGTTTGGGAAGATACGGGACATAAGAAAACATTGTTTTGACCTAGTTAAGCAACTGAATAGATTGTTGTATTTTAATGATTGGGGCTATCATGTTTTTAGGAAAACCGCAGTTGTTAATTATAAATGCTTATTTAAAAAAGTATCAGGAGCAACATAGCTTTATGAAACATGCTATATACAATTTCCTTCCTTCTCTCCCTCCTTCTTCCTTTCCTCCTTTTCTCTTCCTTTCATTCCTTTTTTCTCTTCTTCCCTTTTTCCTTCCTTCTCTCCCCTCCTTCTTCCTTTCCTCCTCCTCTCTTCCTTTCTTTCATTCCTTTTTTCTCTTCTTCCCTTCCTCCTTCATTCTCTCCCTTCTTCCCTTTATCTTCTCCTCCTTCTCTCCTTTTCTTCCTTCTTTCTTCCATTTGATTTGTAAGTGAGAAAAGGCGTGCTGTATGTGAGAGGCTACACTAGAAGCAAAAGGTCCTTGCCCTTAAGCAGCAGTCTAAAGGGGAGACAGACATATTAATACATAGAGCTACAATTATAGAAGTGTGTGCAGGGTCCTGCGAGGAACATAGTAGGAAGTGGTCATTTTATTTGGAAAGTTTGGAAGTGCTCTCTAAAGGAGCTGACGCTTGAGCTTTGTTTTTGTTAATGAAAAAGCAGCAACTGAATTGAGCACTTCTCAGACTTTATTATAATCATGTCCACACACACACACACACACACAGAGCCAGCAAAGAAATAGACTCCTCTAGAATCTTAGAATAGGATTTTAGGCAGAACAAGAAAAAAAGTTGTTAACCGAAACCCAAGACTGAATGCTTAGCCATGATATTTAACAAATTGCCTCAGTCTTTGTGTTCAGATCTTTAGGACCCAACTTTGGGGCAGTCAAGTACATAACTGTTCATTACTGTAGTATTTTTCTTGTTGTTGTTGTCATGTATTTGGGGGGCAGAATTGTTAGACTTGTAAAGGTTTGGTACAGATTTTGGTTAAGTTACTGTTGGTAACATGTATAGTAGGTATTACTTGCAAATTCTTTCTCAGGCATAAGAAATGGATATTCCTCAAATTCTTTCTTAGTAATAAAATATGGATAGATATCTCAGCAGGGTGATAAAAGAGGGTACTCCAGGAAACAGGGGAAGGATGAGCAAAGGAATGCCGCCAAAGAATAGTCAATTCTGATGGAGAAACGGAAATGGGTCATTATGGCGGGAAAGTAGGCCCAGAGGCAATGAGGCTATGAGTGGTGCAAGGGCCAAATCTACCACTTAACTCCTGATGGCAGGCATGTTTATGAACACAGCCAGGATTGCTTAACTGGTGGGTTGCTTAACTCCTGATCCCTTTTGCTTCTTTCTTCTCTTTGGGTACTTCCACTATATTTATGTTTATGCATGTAATGATGTCCCACATTTCAGTAAGCCTGTTTATTTTTATTTAATTTTCCCCTCTCTTCGAAGTGCATAATTTCTACTGATCTTTCTTCAAGTTTGCTGATTCTTCTGTCAACTCACATACACTGTTCAGCCCCTCAAGTGAATTTTTCATTTTGCTTTTTGTATTTTTCACCTGTAGATTTTTCATGTGGTTCTTTTTTAAAAAGTAATTACTACCTGCATTAGACCAGGTTCTCCAGAAAAAAAGAACCAATAGGATATATGTATATGTATATAGAAAGATTAATTATGAGGGATTGGCACACATGATTATGGAGGCTGAGAAGTCGCACGATTTACCTTTTGCAAGCTGAAGACCTTGGAAAGCTTGTGGTGTAGTTCCAGTCCAAACCTGAGGTCTGAGAACTGGGTAGGGGACTGGTGGTATAAGTCTCAGTCCTGGTCCAAAGACCAAGAAGCCCAGCTGATATATGAAAGCAGGAGAAGATGGATGTCCCAAATCTAGCAGAGAGAACAAATTTATCCTTTCTCTAGCTCCTTGTTCTATTCAGGCCCTCAGTGGATTGGATAATGCCCAATCATATTACTCACTTTACAGATTCAAATGCTAATCTCTCCCAGAAGACCACACCCAGAAATAGTGTTTTGCCAGACATCTGGGTATCAGTCCAGTGAAAGTAAAATATACAATTAAGCATATTATCTCTATTAATATTCTCTATATGATGAATTATTGTTATAGCTTCCTTTAGTTATTAGAACATTTTGATAATAGCTGCTTTGAAATCTTTGTGTGCTAATTCCAAACCAGCTCCTTCTGAAGGCCGTGATTTTTACCTGCCTTTTTTTCCCCTCGTGAATAGATTATACTTTTCTGTTTCTTTGCATGTCTCCTAATTTTTGTTAGAAATTGAGCATATTAGATAGCACAGTATTATAGCCACTTTGAATGTTATTCCCCTACCCATTTCTGAGAACTTAGTATTTTTTTCTTTTCGTTTGATTATTTATCAGGTGGGGCTGGACTAATTCTGTGGAGTCAATTTCCCCCACAGTGTGCAGCCTCCGATGTCCTGCTCAGATATTTTTTCCAGGACCTTTTGTCCTGGCTTCCTGGGGGTTCCATATGGGTTTGCATAAACCAGATATTGGTGGAAGATTATGATTAAGCTCTTATCCAGTTATATTCTCATCCTGTTTTCACAAATTATTTATGTGTGTGGCTTGGAAATTACCCTCACATTTTGGGGCGTTTACCATTTTGCCCATGTCCATCCAGGGGTGACAAGCTTGGAGATATTCTCTCCAGTTCCTCCTTACAGAACATGGTGTTGGATATGTGGGCATACTTCCAGTCCACCAGGGATGATAATGGTTTTATTTTTAAACCAAGCCTTCTAGGTCATACCCCTGGGTCAGAGTAGCTTATTTTTAGCTAGTATTTGATCAGAAGTTGTGCTTAAGCCCTCTGATCCAGTAAGACTAAAACAATCTTTGCAGGTAGATTGGTGCACGGCTTGGGAACCCTTCTGGGGCTGCCCCTCATCCTGCTTCAATTGTTTCTGAGAAGGTGTAGTGTAGAGCATGTGCACAGCCTTCTAGACCCCCAAGGATAACATTGATCATGGAAGGGCTCTTCTTGGCTGACTTCTTCACTCCTTGTTATTTTTTGACTGTTCTGCCCTTTTGCTCTTTGCTACTAGTATCTTGGAACTACCAGCCCCCTCTTCATTACTTGTCACCACTACTGCCATTGTTTTTGACAATATCTTTAGGCATGAACTTCTCCTTGCTCTGTTCCAAGGTTGTTTACCTCAGGCAGAGCTGTGGAGTTCTCTATTCTCACAACCTGTTCCTTCCCCTGGAAGAGCCTCAGAACCGTTATACCAGAGCTAGGAATAATATCCCACTTCTCCCCGCAGGGCTGAGTGGATGGTTGCCTTTTACTTTCTTGGCTGTTTCACTGGTGTGGAACTGTGTTCAGAATTGGTGGGTTCTAGGTCTCGCTGACTTTAAGAATGAAGCCACGGACCCTCGCGGTGAGTGTTACAGTTCTTAAAGATGGTGTGTCCCTAGTTTGTTTCTTCAAACGGTCAGATGTGCCTGGAGCTTCTTCCTTCTGGTGGGTTTGTGGTCTCGCTATCAGGAAAGAAACTGCAGACCTTCACAGAGTGTTACAACTCTTAAAGGTGGCGCCTCTGGAGTCATTTGTTCTTCGTGGTGGGTTTGTGGTCTTGCTGGCTTCAAGAGTGAAGCTGCAGACCTTGGCAGTAAGTGTTACAGCTCTTCAAGGCAGCATGGGCCCAAAGAGTGAGCAGCAGTAAGACTTACTGCAAACAGTGAAACAATAAAGCTTCCAGTATGTAAGAGTACCCAAGCGGGTTACTGCTGGCTGGCTCCCGCAGCCTGCTTTTATTCCCTTATCTGGCCCCACCCACATCCTGCTGATTGGTCCATTTTACAGAGAGCTGATTAGACTGTTTTGACAGAGCACTGGTTGGTGCATTTACAATTCCTGAGCTAGACGCAGAGTGCTGATTGGTGCGTTTACAATCCTCTAGCTAGACACAGAGTGCTAAACGGAAATATTCTCCAAGTCCCCACTAGGTTAGCTAGATACAGAGTAGTGATTGGTGTATTTACAAACCCTGAGCT